TAAACACTTGAACATGATGTGAGGTTAAAAAAAACAATATGAATGAACAATGTGTTGTTAATAGACTTGGATGAATGGTTTGTTTTATGGTTATGGTTTGAACTTGAATTTGTATACGTGTATGTCTGTGAATGGAAATCTAATTATGCATTGTTGCTATGGTTGCAGGGCTGACATGATATGCATAAGACTTGGCAATGCATGGATTATGAAGACAGAGAGATTCCTTAGGGCAAACCTAAAAATCAAGATGTCTTAAACACTTGGGATGTCTTGTGAAGGCAATAAGATGGAATTAGGGTTAGGATTTAGTCAGTTGACCAAAAAGTTAACAGTTGACCAAAAGTCAACCTAGGTCAAAATTGTGTTTTTTTTTATAGAATCAGTTTTTTGTAAAGATTTGTGATGTAATGTAATGGATGGTTTTATAATGCAATAGATTTTGATTGGATCGTGTTTGGCAAAATGAAACTTGTATTCTAAGTAACATACTTTCTCTCCCAAAACTTGATTTTGAACTTTAACAATGAACTTGCAATGAACCTTGATGATGCCTTGAATCCACACCCTGCATAATGAACAAGTCGATGACCAAGTATAATGATCACCTCATAAAAGAACTTAATCAAGTAAATGAGTCTCCCATGGTTGACCAAATGATATTTGCCATCCCTGATTAAATTTAAGACCAAAATGCCACACAAATGACCCATGGATGCTAAAAGTCAAAAACTTGGGGTTTTGCACAACTCAAAACTCCTAGGCTTGATATCGTTGAAAAAACCCTAATTTCAGTCCTAGGTAATAAGAACCTCTTAATCCAATATGTTTAATGCAAATGGTAGAATGAATATATTATGATGCTAATGCATATGCAGATGAAATCACCAACCAAAAGTCATATGAAAATGAAAAAGGGAGGGAAAATTTTGGGGTATGACAGCTACCCCTATTTAATCTTCTTAAACCTAAATGCATGAATGATGACAGCTTTTCGAGCATTCGAGGTGGAAGTGGATTAAATACAAGAATATCCAAAAAAAAATTGTTCGCTTGGGATGTAGATGTATTGTGGGAGAGATAAATATATTGATTGGAATTTTTTTTATCGGGAATATAGAATGACAAAAAAGCTTTTGTGCTGGGTCATCTGTTAGGGATTGACTAAAACATTTTGGTGGAGAAATGAATCAGTCATAAGAGAAATGCTTAATGCATATGATGTATGCAATGTATGTATGCAATGTATGTTTGATCTTTCATGATGCATGAAATTATGTATGTTATGCAGCAATGTGGGTTATGGTATCTACAAGGTTGAGAATCTTTTAGTATGGGACAAAAATTTTGTACCTCAAAGAAAAGAGATAGGTATCAATGTTTATGATGATTTTTGTTTGGCTTCTACTAATGAGGTTTGACAGGTGTTGGTAGTTGAGATATCCATGTAAGGTTCCACAAAGGTAAGAGATTTTTTTTTCCAGATGAAAACTGACCACTAGGCGGGAACTGAGTTTTGAAATGCTTTGCCAGATGGGAAGTAGGCTCTAAAATGTTTCGCTAGATGCAAACTGGATTTTCTAATGATTGACCAGATGTGAATTGATTACCAAATGGAAAATGAATTTTGAAATAGTTTGTCAGACAGTAAGGACTTCGAAAGAACTAATCAGACGAAAACTGACTATCAGACGAGAATTAAATTTTGTAATAATTGACCAAACAGAAATTGGATTATGAAATAATTTGTCAGACAAAAACTGAACTTCGAAACGGCTGAAAAGATGGGATCCGTTTTGGTTTCTGAATACTTAAGGTTTTTGAATGCTTATGGTGCCATTGTCAATGTTTCTTATGTGTTTTTGTCAATTCATGGAACAAAAGTGCTGGTGTCTTTAACTGTTTTTCTTTAACTAGGGGCATTTTTATACTTTAAAATTATTATTATTATTATTATTATTATTATTATTATTATTATTATTATTATTATTATTATTATTATTATTATTATTATTATTATTATTATTATTATTGGATTCGATTTTTGAAAATTTGAAAAGACTGTGATCTATGTGGCTTAATAAAATTCATACAGTTACTGTATTCAATGAATTAACATCAATAATTAAAAATAACAACTTTTGATTTTGTAAAAAAAATATTTTATCTGATACTGTTATTGAAAACAATAATAACTTTTCTCAAATTTGTACCTGTTACAAAAATTAATGAATTAAAAAAAGTTTTTAAATTTAATACATTAATTCAAACCACTGTTTTTTTAAGTTGATACGATAACGAAAATCAAGATTTTTTTGTTAAGATTTGAAAAGAGTAAATTGATTTTTATTATTATGAATGGCATTAGAGTTTTTGTTGGTATTTTTGACAAGTTATAATCGAATTTTCATTATTTAATTATATTTTATTAACTTTTCGGTAATTGTTATCCTCATTTCTCAAAACAATAGTTTTCGAATAATATAGTTTTTGAATAAAAGTTGTTTTTTTTTATATTTATAAATTATAAATTTTAATAGTAGAAACACATCATTATAATCTATAGTATATATAGAGGTAAATATAATGTTTTTGTGTATCTATTTTTCATCTAATTTTATTTTTATTTTAATACTAGCGTTCAGACGAACACGTGATCGTCTGTCCACTTTTGTTAATGCAAAGACATGTTAAAATATAAAAAATATTTTTGTATATTTATTTTTTATTTTAATTAAATTATTTATAAAATAAAAAAAGTAGTAGAATGAAAGAAATATATATACCACCGTATAGAGATTAATGAAAAAGAAGTTAAAATTTAAAATAAAAATTAAAAAGAGTATAATTGAAACAAAAATAAGTTACACCAAAAACAAGTTTTGTTTTTATATATAAGTATAGATATAACTTACTCAATAATTTCCATTAACTTCTTATCTAATTTTTTATCATTAATTTTCTACTTAGTTTCTATTTAAAATTAATATTAAATAAAAAATATTATTTAAATTTTGATACGTGTGTATTAGAAAAAAAAACAGTCTGACACGAGAATGCCGTCTAGTAATTAATAAAGATAATTCATAAAATTATTTTTTTACTAAAATTATTTCTTATTTTAATTTATTTAATTAAAAAATGTATAAAATTAGGAAAATTGACTCTTATAAGTTATAAGTTATTGCCTCAAAAAAGTTTAAGTTATTTGTGTTTAATAATAAGCATAACGCCAAATAGTATATTATAGTATTAGTATATGATTATACATCATTATCTGACTAGTGATTTCATTAATAAATAAATTATTTACACTTTTATGAAATAATATTTATTTGCTTGATGCTTACTCTAGGATTTTTAGAAATATATACAAACGCTCTTATTTTTATTTTGTATTAATAACATATATTTTGTTGGATTTTATTATTTTAATATCTTTATTATTGAATGACTCAAGACATGACCGCATTATTTTATTTTTTAATGTCATTTTTACCAAATGATGAACTTTTTAAAAATCTCCATTCAATTGTCTATTTTAAATTATTATAGTTTATACTATTATATTATATTATATGAACATAAACAAAATGCCTTGTAATTCTTCGTCACAAAAGCTATCTTGTTATTTTTTAGTATTATATTAAATTATTTTATTTTTTCTTATTTTTTCGCATGTTTTAATGTAAGAAAATTAAAGACAAACACTAGTATTTTAAAGTTTTATTAGATATACCTACATCTTTCAATTTTGATATTTTTTGTTTATATTAATATATATTAGTGAGACCTTTTTTATTTAGTCAAATCACAATTCCTAATAAAATAAGAAAAAAAAACAAGTAAATCTTCATAATCTTTGTAAAAATCAGTTTTGTTAGGGAAAAAAACAATTTTATTATCCTAAACTAATTTTACTTGGAAACTTAATATATTTTAATTAGAATAGAAAACAATTGGCCATTGAATTAAGGTTAAATGTTGTGAAAAAATTACGGTGTAAACATTGTATGAAAATTGAGTGTAAGCATAGCATACATCTTTTTTAAAAATTAAATAGTGATTTAGGTTGGAATTTAAGCTTGAAAATACAATTTTAGATTTCTAAAATTTATTGAATAAATTTGTCGTTCATACGTGTTAGTAATTTTTGTCCGCAATTGTAAAAAGGGAAAATAAAAGCATACAAAACAAGGTTTTGGAGGCTAGCACCATTGTTTGTTAGTTGTTATGTAAAAAAAAAAAATCAAATTATTGTAGCAGATATTGTTGGATATACATAGTAGAAATATGATGAAAAATAGGTTTAAGTGGTTTAGACATATAGAAAAAAAAAAGTCTTTAGATTTTGGATAGCAAATCAGATGAAAGGTAGTCAGATAACTCGACGTAAGAGAAAACTATAAGGAAAATTTTTAGAATTTTTTTGAGATTAACGAGTTGATAGAAACGTGATTCTTTTATAGAACATTATAGTGTAATTTGTTCCACGTAGCCGATCATACTTAATGAAATAAAAGTTGTTATTAGATTTACTATTGTGGATGGAAGTAAATTTGTGTTATTGTTGTTGTTGTGAGTTTTAATAGAAAATTGTTATTCTTTCAATTAGATTGGTGAAAAAATATTTGAATTTTAGTTTGTGTTAGAGTTAGTTGGGTTAATCGTTATATTTAATTATAGGTAATTATCAGTTAGTTAATTTTGTTATAAGTTAATTAAAATTGGTTAGTCGGCCATGATCACTCTATAGAGTTTATCATATATTCATCGTAACAAATATTTTATCATTGAATCAATACAAAACAATTGAATCATCTCTTATTTTATTTGTGTCTTTCTTTAATCAATACAAAATAGGTTATTTTATCTTGATTTTCTATGCTTTTATCATGTTATATTCGAGAGTTACTCTAATGATCTAAACCTCCAATGGAAACCTCTTGGTAAGGATACAATTGAATGCTTTACTTTGAAAGATCTTTGGAACTGTTTTTATGAATGCATATGGTGCTGGCACATCTATGATATTAGAGGATGGCGAAACTGTGGTTCACTACTATATTCCATATCTATCTGCTATTCAAATCTACACCAATAAGTTTGTTGTAGCTTCTCGGTATGATCATGTCATATCTTTATATTCTAATTGTATTACGTAATTTGGTACACTCGTCAAAAACTTATTAGTCAACTTTCCTTATTCTAGGAACTGAAGAGAGGATAGTGATGGAGTTGAATTCGAAAGTGACTCGTGGAGCGATGATAGTGGAAGTGATAAATTGTTTAGATTATTAAGTAATGATTCAAGCAAATCTTGGGATGCGATTTCTGAAGAATCAAGCTCTGACCAAGAAGGTTCATGCCAAACAAAGGATAAGCTTGGAAACCTATACTTAAGCTATATTGAGATGTCTTCGCCTTATCATAGAGTTCTGCTTACGTTGAAGGTAGTTTTTTTTTGTCGTTTTTCAGCACTTAGCTTAAGTAACAAAGTCAATTAATGTATATGTACATTGCATTCATACTATACAATTTTTTTAATTGTTTCTTATTTCAGATACCTGAGTTAGCGAAAACCTATCAGGAGCTCATGACTTTGAAGAGTGTCGATTTTTCTCCTACAAGTTGGATGGTTGTTTCGTGGTGAATATAATTTGTTAATTTCTTCATAATGTTCTTTATAGTTTCTATAAGATGTATTGATCCTATGTTGATGATTAGGTACTCGATTTATACCATCCCTAGTCGGAAAAATGACAAGGACATGGAAGCATGCTTCCTCACTTACCATACATTGCCATCATCTTTTCAAGGTATTTTAAAGTAGTGTTATTGCAATGAATATCATCTTTCCATTAGTAAGACCCCAAATGTTTGTAAGATTCACACAAATTTTAGAGTGTTGAAAAGAGAGTGTCTGATATTGCATGATTGATACTCTTCATATATTTTTAATTTAGTATCATATGTCTTTTTAATAGATCATTAAAAATTAAGATCAGATGCATTAAATTTTTATATGTTTTTTTTATTTATACTTCATCTATAGAGTTTACTCTATGATCCTTCATGTGGCTTAAATCAAATATTTTGTGATGTAAAGCTTCATGTTAGTTTTTATGTGTATATGCAGATTTTGAATTGGAGAATCATGGTATGAACATAGACAAAGACAAAGATCTATGTTGTTTAAGTGGCTGGGAAAACATTGTAGGACATCATAATTCTAAGAAAAAGAACAAAAGTTCAATTTCTCTACCTCCATTTGGGTTAGCCACTTACAAAATGCAGAGTGATCTTTGGCTAAACTCTGATCTATATGATTATGAAAGTATATCATATCTTTATAGCCCCGTAAAATCATGGTTGAAACAACTCAACGTCGATCACCATGACTTTAACTTCTTCGCATCAAACTCTATCTTGTAAATCGGTTTATGTTCCTTCATCATGCTTACCTGACTTTGCTTTGATTTCACCTTGAAACTAATGTCGTTGGACACAAATAAAACAGGTTCACTTGGTGAAATTCTGAAAACATTCAGAATATTTGAAGTTATATATGTCAAAAGGATACATAACTTCTAAACTAAGTAAAGTTTTGTGAATTGGGGCTGAATTTTTTTACGTATCATTTTTTTATATAAGGTATTGTTCTTGAAACAAGACCAAACTTGTTATAATTAGTTGAACTATAATATATATGCTATGTACTATAGTCCTTTTTTAAAATAATTGGGCTTATGTTAGTTTTGTATATTCTTGTCATTTTATTTTAACTTCATAAGAGAGTCAAGTGAGTAAACAACTTTTATATCAAATTTCAAGTGCCGATCAAATCAAAATAAAATGAATAAGGATAAAGTTTAAAACATAAAACATAGTAGTAACAAAATATGTGGAATTTTTTTCCATCTTTTAAATTTTTCAGATTTTTTTTAATTTTATAAAAATATCTTCCGGATTCTAGATTTTGGAATGTGTTTTTAAAGTTATTGAATTCTAGAATTTGAAAACGATTGAATACATGACAAATACAATTAATACAAGCACTTTATTAATTTATATGAAATTCAATGTGTTACATGTTAAACACCAACAATAAGTTGAGAATAATTATAAATACTAATAAAACATAAACAAGATCAAAGGTTAGAAATTAGTTACTTTTTCATTGAGCTCAATCATGAACACCACAAATTTATCAAATGTTCTGGCACAAATTAAGCTTGAACATATAACACAGACGAGTTTGACAAAGGTAGCATCTAACTTGAACATGGTTCTCACATCATTATTGTTTTGAAGTTATATGTTGGTGAACTAAACATGTCCATCATTGTCGGCTGACAAACAATGATACTCAACACTGACCACCATTCTTATGTCATGGTGGGTGAGACGCTGATTTATTTGGTCTTGTTGTCCCTTCAAATTATAAAATGTAATGTCAATAATGATCTTGAACAAATGGGGAGAAGTCTCATTGTTGAAGTAAGTTGCAAGTGAATCGAATATATTATAGAAGTTCTTGTATATTCTAGTCAATATAAAGTTTTTATGTGATCTAAACCACATAATAGAAATTAAAAGGTTAACATTGTTAGAACACAGATTGGTTCTTATTAATAACTCTTTGTTTTGATGATAACTGTTAGGAAATTTTATATTTAAGAATTATATACTCTAAAATTTGTTTGAGAGTTTTACTACAGATTGAAATGAAATTAACTCTCTAGAAGCAAATCTGTATTGTACACAAGAAGTTATCCTGACTCTGAAGCGCCAGATGCATCTTACAGAAGATTTTGATTGCTCTTTACAGAAGATCCTGAGCGTAGTCTCCAGAAGGATCTGAAGCAAGAAGCTCCAGAACATTCTGAGTCAGAAGCATTTGAAGATAGTCAGAAGCATCTGAAGCTGAAGCATCTGAAGCAAAGAAGAATATTGTTTGAAGAGTTTCTCAAAGCATAATTCTACAGAAGTTTCTGAAAGTACTAACGCTGCCCAGTACTGAAGTTCTGTGTCAAATATGCTCTGATGATCAACACGCTGAAAGCACACATGCTGCTAAAGACTCTGATACAGCAAAGTTCTGAATATCATTAGAAGACTCTGATCCATTCAGACTCTGAAGAACTTGCTGAAAACTGAAGAAGAAATATTCAAGAATATATCCGTTGGAGTAAATCAACGTCTCTTTCCTCATTTATGCTAGACACAATTACACAGACAAAAAGGATTTTTCTGTGTTATCTACTTCAAGGAAAGGTCACTTGATGTGAAGACAAAAAGGTTCAGACCTTTTTGGGACTCTCTTTTCAACGCTCAGCATCCTTGCATCAGCTTCCTATAAAAGGAGAAATCCACCACATTCTTCAGTTACACAATTTGCTGAAAAGAAATCATATTATTCTAAGCTCTCATTCTTTCATATTCTTATTAGAATTTCTTGTACTTAAACTTAAGAGAAAAATCACTGTTGTGATAAAAGCTTTATAGAAGCATTAATACTCTTGTATTTAATTTACATTGATTGTAAAGTTTTTTCCTTAAGAGGATTCAGTTGGAATCAGTAGCTCTTAAGAAGACTAAGAACAGTTGTTCTTAGGTGTTACTATTGTAATCAGTTTGATTTAATAGTGGATTAAGTCCTTGTTGAGAAAGGCAAATCACTCTAGGAAGGGTGGACTGGAGTAGTTGTTTAAACGAACCAGGATAAAAATAATTGTGTGATTATTTTAAGTCTTAATCTTTCATACTTATTCAACCCCCCTTCTAAGTATTATCTCACCTTCAGTTGGTATCAGAGCTCCGGTTCTGAGTGTGCTACCACTTAACAGTGTCAGTAAAGATCCAGAGAGAAATACTTTGATATATATTTATTTGTTACCATGGCTGATAATTCAATGTCCAATATTAACAATAAATATGAAGAAAGGGATAGGATCAGCACCAAACCCCCAATGTTTGATGGGGAGAAATTTGACTACTGGAAAGACAGAATTGAGAGTTTTTTCCTAGGATATGATGCTGATATATGGGATCTAGTCATAGATGGATATGTCCATCCCACAGATGGGAATGGCAAGAAGATTGACAGAAAATCTATGACAGATGCTCAGAAGAAAGATTTCAGAAATCACCACAAAGCCAGGACTATATTATTGAATGCAATTTCACATACAGAGTATGAGAAAATTACAAACAGGGAGACTGCTTTTGATATGTTTGAATCCCTAAAAATGACTCATGAGGGAAATTCTCAAGTTAAGGAGACAAAAGCTCTGGCTCTGATCCAGAAGTATGAGGCCTTCAAAATGGAAGACTCTGAATCTGTTGAAGCCATGTTCTCCAGATTTCAGATACTCACTGCTGGGCTGAAAGTTCTGGACAAGGGATACTCTACATCAGATCACGTAAAGAAAATCATCAGAAGTCTGCCTACCAGATGGAGACCAATGGTGACTGCCTTGAAGATGGCTAAAGATCTGAACAAGATCTCTCTAGAAGAACTCATCAGCTCACTAAGGAGCCATGAGATTGAGCTTGAGGAAGATGAACCTCAGAAGAAAGAAAAAGGTAAATCTGTTGCATTAAAATCTAACAAAACTGCTAAAGCTTTGCAGGTCATTCAAGAAAGCTCTGAAGAATCTTCTTCTGAAGAAGAAGATGAGTTATCCATGCTGTCCAGAAGGATCAACAGACTCTAGAAGCACAAGGGAAAGAAGTTCAACAACTTCAGAAGATCAGATAATAGAAAGGAATCTTCTGGACACAGAAGATCTGCCAAGAAAGAAGTTGTGTGCTATGAGTGCAAAGAACCTGGGCACTACAAGAACGATTGCCCCAAACTTCAGAAAGAAAAACCCAAGAAGAAGTTTAACAAAAAGAAGAAGGTTCTGATGGCAACATGGGATGACTCAGATGAATCTGAATCATCTTCTGAATCAGAAGAAGAATGTGCCAATGTTGCACTGATGGCCAGCACAGAGGATCAAGAGGAAGGTACCTTAGGATATGAATCAGATTCTGAATCTGATGATGACGCAGAAGAGGTAATGGCTAAACTTACCAAAGAAGAACTCATAAAAGTTTTAACAGAAGTTCTTAAAAGTTATAACAATATCAAACTCAAATACAAGAAGCTGAAAAGCAATCTTGAATCTGAGATTGATCTTCTGAAGACAGAACTTGTTGAGCAAAAAGAAATTAATCTGAAAATCAAAAATGACTTTGAAATAACTCAACAAGAATCTGAATCTGAGACTAATTCATGTGAAAATATTTTAGAAAAATATGACTCTAGCTTTCAGAGATTTCTTACTAAGAGCATAGACAGAAGCAAGATGGCTTCCATGATCTATGGTGTTAGTGGAAACAACAGAAGAGGTATTGGATATGAATCTTCATCTGGAAGCAATCCAAAACCTGTTGACAAAATTTTCTTCAAGAAGACACCTCTGTACTCTCAATTTAAATTTGGTCACTTAAATGACATTAAACACACAAGCTCTGAGAAGAATACTTATGTGTTTAAACCCAAGGCAAGTCAGAATAAACATTATGTTGAAAAACAGAAGTTTAGACAAACCTACAAACCAACTAACCCCAAAGGACCCAAGAAGATCTGGGTACCTAAAAACAAAATAATTCCTGTTGCAAATGTTCTTAGCAGCAAGGTCAGGACACCAATCATGGTACCTGGACTCTGGATGCTCACGACACATGACAGGAGAAAAGTCTATGTTCCAAAGCCTGGAACTTAGATCTGGAGGTGACATGAAGTTTGGAGGGAACCAGAAGGGCAAGATCATTGGATCTGGCACTATTGGAAATGGTAAACTTCCCTCTATTACTAATGTTTTACTTGTTGAAGGGTTAAAGCATAACTTATTGTCCATAAGTCAATTAAGTGACAATGGTTATGATATTACCTTTAATCAAAAATGTTGTAAAGCTATTAGTCAAAAGGATGGCTCTATCCTATTTAGTGGTAAGAGGAAAAACAACATTTACAAAATAAATCTTTCAGAACTTAAAGTTCAAAATGTTAAATGCCTCTTGTCTGTTAATGAAAAGCAATGGGTCTGGCACAGAAGATTGGGCCATATTAATATGAGACGTATATCTCAGATTAATAAACTTAATCTTGTCAGAGGACTCCCTAATCTGAAGTTCACTTCAGATGCTCTTTGTGAAGCATGCCAGAAAGGGAAGTTTTCAAAAACATCTTTCAAATCAAAAAATGTTGTTTCTACTTCTAAACCACTAGAACTACTTCATATTGATCTGTTTGGACCAGTGAAAACTGCATCCATCAGAGGCAAGAAGTATGGATTAGTCATTGTAGATGAATTTAGCAGATGGACATGGGTAAAGTTCTTAAAACACAAGGATGAGTCACATTCTGTGTTCTTTGACTTCTG